AAAGTACATTCGGACTAAATCCTCTAGACCCCGAACAGCTTCCAGTAGGTTGACAAGTCTTCTGCCTTCATCTGTCCGCTGTTGAATGCCTTGTCGAACCACACCAGCTTCCCTTGCTAGGCCGTGAAGATGACGGGCTGCTTTTTGCACTTGATCCAGGAAATCTCGGATGGTTGCGTCTCGGGCCCTCACCCTTCGTTGTGCTTTTCCCAACGGAAACGCCATTGTAGTTCTCCGTCGAAGGGCACCATCTAAGCTCGTTTGCTTGCCTGTTGACCCATCTATAATAGCTTCTAACTCAGCTATCGTCTTGCCATCTTTCTCATGCTGTTTCTCTAAGTCAGCTACCCGAACTCTCAAGCGTTGGTTCTGATATTGACTATCTGCCAAGCGCCTTTGGGCAGTCTTTGTTTGTTCTTTCCAAGCTCTCTCATCAGGCCCCTCGAACTTCCTTTTCCGGCTATGAGCTTCGTCTTTCCAGTATTCAGAGGTTACCTTCAACTTGGAGTTATCCTTGACCTTATCTTGATACCCCTTTCTCAAGTCTTCGAGCTCAAAACGGACTCTCTTTTTTTTTTTTTCCAGTTTTTTTTCTGCCCGTCTTTCTGAGAGTCAGCATCAAGCTTCCACTGATACGTTCAGCTTCAAGTTCCTTTATTCTTTGCTTCAGCTCATTATTCACGGTTTCAAACTCGGTCTTGGCTATCTCGAGTTCAGAAGGGACGTGCCTGAGATGTTCCTCCATGGTCCGGGTGTCATCACAGTCTGGCACAGGGATTTGTCATTCTTTCTCAATCTTCGCCACTCCACATAATCCGGAGTGAGCATACTTCTGGCAGCTACACATCCATCCGGAATACTTTCCTCCACGAATCGGCTACTTCTTTGATCATCTTCTTATAGCTGTCGCCGTGATACTCAAACTCTGACCTAGCTAACCCGCATGTTGCTGGGACAAACTGACGTGCTCCTATTGTCTGAGTGCTAATAGCGAGCATACCCGACTGCTCCCCAAAGTCCAAGTAAGGTCACAGTGTCGGAGTCACCACATCGAAAAAGACATCACTGAGGAATAACCAAGGGGCTCTCCAAACAATATCTCGGTCTTGAAGATGTGTAAAGACCTTCATCCATTTTTCTTTCGAGGCGCCTTCATGCCATTTTAAGGTAATAAATTCACCTAGAGGTGAATAGGTGGTGCTGAAACGCGGTAGGCAACCCCGTCAGTCTTCCAGAAGTGGCTGTGAATCCAGACTTGAAGGAGCTGAATGCACTGTGAATCTTCCTCCGCCAGTTCTTCGGCAATGATTGAGAGATCGAAAGGTCTCAGCCAAGATGGCTGGTGCTGGATTGACCCTTCTCGAGAGTTGTTCGAATAGCTCCACTACGGTGGCATCGATGTATCCCAGGTCTTTGGGAATAAAATTAGACCATACAGACCTAATGCAAACAGTTTTATTGTCTTCATTCATCAGGATGGTGCTTCATTAGTTGTTTGATATGAAGCCAAGCGATTCCTTCTCCACTACCCTTACATCGAGCTCGGTCAGTTACCCATTTTTCATCAACTCCGGCAACCTTAGCTATGTGTTTTTTGAAAGGTTGACTTTTATGTGCTTAGGTAGCCCGCTCGAGTTTGATGTTTTCACAATGCAGCAGTGTAGTGTACTCTTCTATGGTGGGCACCATGTCTTCCCGGTTAAAGGTGAAGCAACTGTATCCCGGGTTCCAGAATTGAACCAAGGCTCTAATTAAGGGCTCATCATCTTAACATGAAGCAAAAGTGCAACATCACCGTACCGTTGGCTGACTTCTGTTTCACCTCATTCTTCCAACTGTCCCAGATGTCCCGGAGCTCTTGTACGTCATTTGCTTTAGGCTGATCGAGGCGTAGCTAACAGCTCTGACACATAGTTGTCTTGAAGACTGTCTCCCTTTTCCTTCTGAGTCTTCTCGACCATAGTCGTACCTCAGGGTTTTTAATCTCTTGTATTACAACACCTTTATCCATTAATTCAGATTATTTTGTGCGTAATGAACGTCTTTTTAGGGAACAATGGCCTCTTGTTATGATGCAATGCTAAAACAAACACAAAGGCAAATGGTTAGTAAATAAAAATAATGGAAATAATAAAATAACAAGAAATAAATGGCAATAAAAACATAAGAAAAAAACAAATGGTTAGGAATCAATTGTCCTAGGTTTTGGAATGTGGTTTTGGGGTAGGCTCTATTCCTTCGAAGTCTCTTGGTTTAGGTTCTAAAAACGGTACCCGAGTTCTCCTTGCTGGTGCCCCCTTGGGCTTATCAGACCTTAGTCCTAAACCCATCACAGGCTTGTGTGGACTAAGTTAAACTCGAGGGGACACATTCCCTTATGTCTATGCGGAGAATAAATTCACACGAAGACATAAGGTATATGAATCCCGAAGGCTACTTGCTAGGCATATGCGGTGAATAAATTCACACGAATGCGTCGCTTTCACCCCCACTTAAAGGGTTCGGAGCTCGGGTATAGAGCCTTTGGATGAAAAAGTTTGGAAAACTGAAATCATTAGAAACGGTCAGTCCAACTATTTACTCGAAAAATATAACCAAAAGTAAGTATAAGGATCGAAATGTTACCTTAAAGTTCAAACTTACCCTTTTCATTAAAAACACTGGAAATTACCCTTAGCCTGACTCACTTAAAAAAGGTCCCCAGCAGAGTCGCCAAGCTGTCGTAACCGTCTTTCGGTTGGGCCCCGGAATTGGGCTTCGACTGGAATTGATTGGGTTAGGAGTCGCCACCGATCATTTATTTAAAAATAAATGGGTTGATCGGATACCCTATTTCTTACCTGATCTGCGTCTTACCGGAAATATGTCGGGCTCGGGAGTCGATTACAGCCAAGGAAGGATTAGCACCCTTGAACTGCCCTTTCGGTACTATGTAATTTCCAGTTGTCTTTAATTAAGAGAATTGAAAGTTAAATTAAAAGGTAAAACATCGATCTGAACTACTTACCCTTGATTGATTGAAATTCCCTTAACATACAGACGTTAAAGAACGAAAATAAAAAAATGAAAAATAAAGGAAACAAGAATGAAGATAAAAATAGTGACAAAAGGGTTAATAAGCAGAGTAAAATAAATAAAGAAACATTAATAATCTACATACAACCAACGAATAAATAATACAATGAATAAAAAGATGATCATCAAAGAAATAAAAACAAAGTAAAGAAAAAGGTAATCGAATAAAACGTTTGAAATGTACACATAATAATAATAGATATATAAATAAACTATTACGAGTATATACATAGATATATATATATATATATACATATATATTAAAATATAACATTAAGCAAAAATAATCAATGAAGAAAAGAGTACGTATATAATAATAAAAACGTAAATATATATATATATAACTTAGTAAAAGAATATAATAGTAATAGTTAAATTAAAAATATATATACATATATAATAATTTGTAAAACACAACAAAAGTATTAATATAAAAAAATATAAAAATATAAATAGATAGGTAATAAAATATACATCCATAAAAATATAAAAACAAAGAAAATAAAAAAAGCAAATATGAGTAATTATATATAAAATAGCATGTAATAAAAGAAAAATAAGTAATGTATATATAAACTAATAGGAATATAATATATTATACTGTAAATAAATAAAAATCCAAATATCTATGTATAAGAGTAAATACGAGATATAATAAAATATATATAAGTATAAGGGGTAAATGACAAAATAAAGTTAGATGGCAGAATCAGAATATAACCAAGGGAATTAAACTGATTGGGGACCAAATTAAATGTTTTTTTTTAAAACAGAGGGAGCCAAAATGAAGTTACCCAACCGATTTGGGGACCAAATTGAATGTTGTTCAAAACAGAGGAGCCAAATGAAGTTTACCCCTTTTAGCAAAACGCGGATCTGATATAAGCACGGGTCGGGCCAGTTTGGTCCGCTGGGCTAACTATATGACTCAAATATTTTTTGAAATTTCATTTCTCTCTTCTTCTCGTCGAGGCTCCCCTCCCTCACTCAGACTCTCTTTTGTTCATCCAACTGATGAACACACCACCATTCATTTCCAGAAAACGGCCCTGCGCCGCCTCAAGCTGCCTCGCCACCGCCGCTGATCCGCGGCGGCCGTCGTTCATCGGCGGCCAAACACGAAAAGGTAAGCTTTTTTCGAAAGCTCTCCTTGCCTTCAACCCAAATCTTAAACTGGTTTTTCGAAATAGGCCTCGGGGGAGGGTAGAACTGAGATCAAAGTCTCGATCCTTCCCCTAAGAGTTCATCGGCCAAAAGGTTTCTCTTGATGGTTCAAAGGAGACTCAACAACAACAACATGCAAGCAGTGCAAGGGAACCGAATCAAAAACAAAGGTAAAAGACCAAGAAAATACCCTTTATTTCTTTTCAAGAAAAATGCTTCGAATGATTTTACAACCTTCTGAGTTTTGTGACTCTCACGATCTCTCTTTGTGTGCTCGTGCCTATATTTTTTGTGTATTTTCGTCCTCCCAAACTTGTGTGCTTTACATGATATTTATAGCCCAAAAATGGCTATTTTTAGAGTTTGAATTAGAGTAAAACACTGATGTTGGTTGTTGTTGCTTGTTTCTTTGCGTGGCCGAGAGTTCCGGTCGTTTGGAGGCGAGACGTGCGGTGATGGGGGTCTTGGAGCGACGTGATAGCCCTGGAATCTTGGTGATGCGGCGCTGGATGGGGAAACTGCTAGGGTTCTGGGAACCCTAACTCCAGTGGGTCACTTGGGTCATTACTGTTGGGCCTGTAAAAGGAGAGAAGAGAAAAAAAAAATGTAAATAAACTATATATATATTATAACTTATAACATAATATAATATTATATGTATGTATTATGAGGGACGAATTTAAGTGTCTTCAACCCTTAAACAGCAAATTTCTTTGAGTTGAATCATGGATGCCATGAAGAACACCTTCCATGTTGTTCAGGTTCGCAAACAAGATGCAGTTTTTGCACTTGATATTAGTAAAGAAGGACGTGAAGTTGCTTGGAGATGGCTCATGGTAAAAAAAAGGGGTTAATTTATGGTCTTGGTCCCTCTTTTATGCTAAACTTTGTGATTTTGTACATGAGCTTTTGTTTATTTACCAAAAAACAGGATAAGTGGGATGACATTTGGACAACATACGGCTCTGGGTATCTATTAACTAGTTTCATCGGCTCAATCGTGTCCCCGGTTTGTTCAACTCGTGGAATCCATTACAGTGTCTGTTCTGAATTCTGTCTTCTGCTCATCCCAGGGATCATTGTTTTTTTTCTTGTACGATTTGACAGTTTGCTTCGACCGAGAAAGTGAAGGAAATAGGGAAGTTCTTTGCAAACAGGACAAAGGCTGCCATTGGAAGAACGTTGAAACAGAGCATCGAGCAGGTCCAGGTCAATGCCAAGTGGGCTCAGAGCATTGAGAAGGACAAAGATCTGGCCAATGCGGTCAAGAAGTTGGCTATCAACAAACCCTAGAAATTGCTTAATATATTCTTTCGTTTTCCTTCTCTAGTTTGGCTTGTTTGAGTGAGTTTTTAGTGTTTGATTTGTGGGTTCATTGGGATTGATTGATCTTGTGGTGTGGTTGCATTTCAAGGTTTGGAAAATGTAATTTTTTATTTGGTTATTGTGATTTTTTTTTCAAACAAAAACTTGGAGTGTTAAATGAAATATTTTCTAGAATACTTGTGGTTGATTTTTTTATAACTATCGGCGTCCGATCAATTGATTGATTGATCCATATCAGATACTGCAGAGATAATGATGACTCTTTCAACCTAGTTTATTCCATTCGTAATCGTCATGATTCGAATATCTGATTTTATTTAAAAAATCTATTGTCTTGTCCTACTAAATTAAATGATTGTTGGCGAATACGTGTAGTTGATGGTATTTTGGAAGAATAAGACAAACGGATAAATTATTTGGTATTTTTTACTAATTATTTAAACTGTTTGCCCTGTTAAGTGTTTGGGGGGGGGGGGACTCGAGGGATAAAGGGGAGAGAATGAAGATTGAGAAACCAGATTAGAAAATAAAAAAGATAACCCAAACGTAAAATGGTAAAAAAAAAGTAAACCCGGTCCAAAAATATTTTGATTGCCAACTCAATAGGGATGATAAAAAAATCGAATCCGATTAAAAAACCGAAAATCAAATTAAATAGATCGGGTTCGGGGATGATAAACGGGGCGAAGACGGAGATGAGAAAAAATCGAATGTTTTAAACGGGGATGGGGACGGGTTTAATAATCTCCGCCCCGATTACCCGAATATCCGGCCCGATATCCGGCCCGATAAATATTAAAAATAATTAATATTATTATTATTTATATATATATATATATAATATTAATAAATTTAATTTAAATATATATACCCGGCCCGATACCCGTTTAAATAACCATTTATGCTAAACGAGATACCCGTTTTCCCACGGTTTCTCCGATTATCCGATGTAAATCACGTTTAAATCCCCACGATTTTTTAAACGGAGACAGATACGGATTTTTTAAACGGGGACCAATACCCGGCCCGTTGCCATCCCTACAATTCAACTCCATTAAGTTTCCTATATCTATAAAAACCAGGCAGATGAGTCACTGCATCTTCCACACATGCAACATGGAACCCAAATGCTCGAATCAGTGCCGAAGGTTTCAATTTTAGACGCGGTTATACGATCTCTTCCTCAAGGTTTACTGCCACGGCAAGAGGGGATATTCATCACCTGCAACAATCATTCGAGTGCAAGAACATCGAGATGCTTCTCGACGATGAACAAGAAGTATCATGATCAAGAGCAAGTTCGCCATTAAAACGGCCAAGAATCGTCATTATTGCAAAGGCCTCCAAGAAACTATCATTGAAAGAGCAAAGAATCGTCATCCTTGTAAGTTGTCATCGGAGTTGCAGTGGCAGTAGACCTTGCTGAAGAGATCGGAAAACTGGGTCCAAATTCATATCTGTTTTTGCGGCGGTTCAAGGTTCAACGATAAAGATCGCCATCAAATGCATCTCTATTAACGTCGCTCTCATTACTGATTTACGTTTTTATTGGTAAACTACGGCTTAAACTATCCGATTTAATCCGTTTTAGTACCTAAATTTTTAATTTTTTTAAAATCATACATAACATTTAATTTTTGTCTCTTTTTAATAATCCGTTGCTAAAAACTTAACGACTAGTTGACGGGGATAGTTCCGGTGGACGGATGACCAATCCGAACGGTGAACCACGAGGAAATGACGAGTCGACCAACATAGTACAGTTTCATGTCCATTCGGCGATTGACGACGGAGATCGGATGATGAAGAAGTCATAGTCGATATGGGAAGATTGAGGTATTTTTCGATGAAACGGATGTTGGAATCAAGTTCAGGGGTCGAAAAGGTGCGAGCTGAAAAGTTTAGGCTTCATCAACCGATGGATGTGACGATCGACACTATATACGCAACGAATAGCGACTCCATCTGTTAAACTTTTAGTGGTGGGTATTAATATAAAATAAAAATTAAACATTAGGTATGATTTTGAAAAAAATTAAAAGTTTAGATATTAAAACTAATTGTTTAAGCACTAACTTGTAATTTATCCTTTTTGGATCTTGTTCTTGGTTTTTTTCCCTTTTCCCCATTTTTTTATCCTTTTAAAACAAATAATGTAATCTTTTAAAAGTTTTAATTGTAATAAACAAGTATCACAAGTACTGAAATTAAAATATATTTTTAAATTATTTGCATGTAATTTCTTTAGAATTTTCTTTAAAATATAGTTTTGAAACAAATATTAATTATCTCATTTGTTAAATAAATAATTGTTATTTCTATAAACCTCATATTAGAGCACTACATAATGTAAATATATTCGAACATTTATTGTTAAATGATTGAGAATATTTATGACATATATCAATATAAACACTCCAAATTAATAAAAATTAATAATCTACTTTTTATTAATTTTTTGAATAAAATAAAGATCAAGTATGTTATTTATTTTTAAGATAAATTTAAATTAAATTATATAAAAATAAAAATAAATTATATTTCTGATAACAGACTCGTTACCATGTCTAAATTACTAATTATGGAGTATAACTTTTAAAATAATATGGGGATGTAAATATCATAAGTGATTCATAAAATAAATTAATTAAATTTTGATATTTCCAAACGTACCAAATCGCACGGGGGAACAGGCGCGCCACGGAATTAGCAAACGCCAGCCTTTGCAAATGCCCCAACCCCGACAAAACCACTGGCTGACCCATAAATTCCTGTTTTTAGCTGTGCCAAAAGAAAACCACCGCAAAGAGAGATTTGCAACAACATTTTTTTGCTTGTTCAATTGATTTCAGAGAGATTGCGAAGAAGAAGAAGAAGAAGAAATGTGGGAATCGGTTTTCTTAACATTGGTAGCAACAGCGGGTAATAACATAGGCAAAGTTCTACAAAAAAAGGGTACTGTTATTCTCCCTCCTCTTTCCTTCAAGCTCAAGGTAATTCGCTCGTTTTTAATTCACTTTTCCTTTTTAGGTCTTTTATATTTCTGGGTATCTCTCTTTTTTAAACTTTGATAAACGATTCTTATATGGTTACGAAACTTCTCAAAGCCACTGGAGAATTTGGGTTGGGTAAATTGTGGAACTTTGGGGATTTGGGTCATTGAAATTTCATTTTTTTGCGCTGGATTTCGGTTACTGTTCAGCTTCGGCAGTTGTAGCTTGATATAAGCTCTGAAATTGGGTTTGGTGTAGGTGTTTTTTTTATCAATTGCACATGTTTTCCCCCCATGTAGGTGATAAGAACATATGCTGTTAATAAATTATGGGTGATGGGATTTCTGATGGATATTGGAGGTGCCTTATTGATGCTGAGAGCATTATCTTTGGCTCCGGTGAGTTAATTTTTTTAATGGTTCTTTGTTTATGCAATGGACCGAATTATGCAATCTTTGGCTGCTGGTTAGTTGAATATTATTATGTGATAATTTGTAGTGTAAATTTTGTATATTCTTTATCAGTGACGACGATAATGTTGCTCAGGTATCTGTCATTCAACCGGTTTCTGGCTGTGGGCTTGCCATTCTTTCGATCTTTTCATTTCTCTTCATGAAGTATTATTACTGGATGGGGATTACATTAGCTGGTATTGGCACCATAGGTAATGCAAGTTTCTTTCATCGTTCTCGCTTCTGCGGAATCAACCATATAGGTGCTATTACAAAGTGAGTACATTCAGAATATTCACATGATAGTTCTCATATCAATTTTATTTAAAAGAATAAGGTAATTTATATAAAATGCAATCCTTCCTGCTGGTTTTACAGTTTATGCTGCAGGCTACATCCAGTTAGCCATATGATAGCCCATTAGAAATATACTATTGATCCTATATATAAGGTAATAGCCTTGTTTTGTTTTGATGTAGGCGTTGGGGCTGGTGGAGAGGAGCAAGAGTCTTCAGAAGTATCGATTTTACAGCTACCATGGTTGGCATTCATTGTCGTGATCGTATTTGTAGGTACCTTTTTCCTCTACTCTCATCTAGTAGTATTGTTTTTATATCAATATCATATGTTCCTATGATCAGAAATAATGAAATATGTTGTTAGATTCTTTTGAGAGGCTATGTCTATTTCATGATTAATAAATTCTTGCCTTTGCAAACTTGAAGTTTACGATAAATTCTTAAGTTCAATGGAGTGTTTATTCATTTTAAGAGATACAAAACGTTCTGTTGAAAAGTTCCACTTTAATGGGAGCTTCAAGAAATTATCTGAAGGACATCTCTGATCGGTAAATTATCATTCTAATTAACCGAGTGAATTAAATCAAGTTATAAATCTGTATCTGTAATGAACAAAATGAGAATTTTTAGTTTAAACACATGACCTCAATTGTGATGACTTTGTTGCTAGTGACCTAGTAACTCCCTCCTCAAAGGTGCAAGACTAGAGCAGCAGGATGATGGCTGTTATTCATGACTTTTTGGGTACATTTAGTACTGATGCTATTTTTTTCTTATTCCTATAGAACTCAAATATCACTTCCTGTTGAGTCTTACTTTTACTGAATTAAAATTTATAAAGTTAATAGTTTAGTGGAGGTAAACCGTCGTAAAAAAACTATAGATCTCTTGCTGATTTAGGTCATCTAACTTGAAAGGTTATCCATACTCTTTGATATCTCAGATTCATGCTCTTATGCTTTTTAAACATGTAATATTTCATTATTTCCTTGATTATATTGTGTGAAATTCACATGTGATGGTGCTTTTATACTCGATATATGGTTATACAGGTACTCCTAAATGGGTGGCTTCGCTTCTACAAGCGTCAGCGGAGAGAACAAGAATTGGTAATCTCTCTCTCTCTCAGTCTTAAATATTTATGTTGCTTTTGGCCTTTTACTTTATAATATCATCATCTTATGTAAGATTTTGTTTATTTTCTCACCTCACTTGCATTTGTTAACAACCTTTCTCCTGCAGATAGAGTACGAAGCTGTTGAAGAAATCATATATGGCTTGGAATCAGGAATTTTATTTGGGTACTGAACCACTTCTACTGCAAGTCTTATTCTTGCTGTTCATGAGTCATACTTTGAAGATTGGAGATAGTATCCATTTTTTGCGGAATTTATGTAGCATTGATATATGCCTGCATCAAAACTTGTGTTGTTGTCGTTTGAGATGCTCAAGTTAAATGGGATTTCACTTATTTGCAGAATGGCAGCAGTGATATCAAAAATGGGATTTGTCTTTGTGGAGCAGGGTTTCTCCAAAATGTTGATTCCTCTTTGCGTCTCAATTAGCGTCTGTTGCAGTGGCACTGGATTTTTCTACCAGGTATTTCAGTCACCTAAATGGTTCATGATGACATATTAAAACGTTGCTATCATTGCCTTAAGCTATTTGTAGCAGGGTCGTACCTTATGTGTGTGATTCATGGGATCCACTTATGTTCTGGTTTTATTTTTAACATGGTTCAGTTGTGATTTTTTGGTGGCAAAGGTTCAGTGTCGAGACATTTATGTTTTAACAGGGTCCTTTAATGTCATACTTTATACATGGGTGCCTTTACCCTCTTGGGTAATTGTTACATAAATCTTTTTACACCTTTTGAGCAGACACGTGGCCTAAAGCATGGTCGAGCTATTATCATCTCTACATGTGCTGCTGTTGCATCAATCGTGACCGGTGTACTTGCCGGTATGCTTGCATTGGGTGAACAGTTGCCCTCATCGCCAACTGCCCGACTTTCACTTCTTCTTGGATGGTATATAATGCTTACCTTATATTTTACCCTCGGATTGTACAACAACTTATTCCAAAATACTATACCTTGGTTTTTGATTGTTCTCGGATGTGGCTTGCCAACCTTTTGCATACCATAGGCATCATAGAATAGCTTCTGTGGTCAGTATGATCGATTATAACAACCTTGTGTTCCACTACCGCATTTTCTTTTAAAATGAAAAAAGTTTAAATCCCATTCTTCCATGCCCTATTTTTGCTTTAGATTGGTGGATACAAGTAGTGTTTAGTGCAACCATTTGCGATTCCGTACTCTTTTAACTCAAATTCAGCATCTTTTCCACGAAATTATAGTTTACCGAAATTTTCCATGGCAGGCTATTTATCATGTTGGGTGTGATATTGCTTGTGAGTTCAACAAGACTGATGCGACACCTTCCATGGTCATTGCGGAATTTAAAACCCAGTGGAGCAGAACGGAATTTCAGTCTCAGGCGAACAGCGTCTCATCGAGTCAAGGACCCAAGTCCAAGTGCTGTTATCCCAACAGCGACATTGCACCATCTGATAACAAGTAAGGAGAAGGCATAAGTGAAGAAAACAGAAGCTCGTTGCACATGCATATTCGACATTGGAACCATATTGAATATTCTCTAAGAAGGTTTCGAGTTTGTTACAGGTCACTATCAACACAACACAGACTCAAGGGTTAGGATTGTAGCCACTAGCAATTCTGAACACTTGCTGGCAATGACATCATGTTAGAACGATCAAACTTTTTTATTGTTCTTTTGTTGTGTAACGTTCAATCCTATCCAAAGATGAATGGAAAATTTTCACTGCTTGTCGCTTGAAGATTTAATAATCTGAATCATTTTAAGCCAAGGCAAGAATGGGGTGCCATCTGCATTCGCAGCTTCTTGGTACATTGAAAGTCCCCCCCCCCCAATTTTTAATTTATTTCAAAGAAAATTTCTATAAGAAGTCCTTTAATTGTTCCTCAAATTACAACAAATGATACATGATTCAACGATAGTACTGTAAACGAGCCACAACTCGAGCTCGAGCGACTCGAAAAGTGTAAAACTGAGCAGCTCGAGCTACTCGAAGTGTAAAACTGAGTTCGATTCAACTTGAAAATTCAATAGCTTAAAATGGTCAAGCTCGACTCAAACTCAAAATAAAAATTTGAAGAGTCGGGGGCAAATAGTTCAGGGCATAATACCAAGTCTGGTATCTGGGATGGAGTTGGCTCAAAAGTTGGACAGCAGCTCAGCAACTGGAGACGAGGTTGATGGAACAACTTCAAGCTAAATCTTATCTTCAGAAAAAACCCCATAACCAAAATAATGCTTAGAGTCCCTTAATGCAAGGTCCCGTGCTCTATGATGGTGAGAAATAACAATATGACCACTAGAATTTCTGCAAAACATCCATGGTCAGGCGAGTCACTTGATCCTCCTCGAGTCCAAGTTCCAAGTTTCGGTATGATCCAAGCTCAGCTTCATCTTCAGTATGCACTTCAACTGGAAACACTTGCTTGGATACAGATAGAACAGAGGAGAGTTGCAAATTGCAATAGTAGGCCAAACTATATGAACTCGACAGGGCGAGTCACTTGATCCTCCTCGAGTCCAAGTTCCAAGTTTCGGTATGATCCAAGCTCAGCTTCATCTTCAGTATGCACTTCAACTGGAAACACTTGCTTGGATACAGATAGAACAGAGGAGAGTTGCAAATTGCAATAGTAGGCCAAACTATATGAACTCGACAGAATCTACCAAGACAAGCAAAGAGCTGGCAATAATCATGTCTTTAACATAAACCAGAGGCAGTCCATCGATGAATTTCCGTTCAAGAGGCAATCCAATCCTTACAGTAATAAGCTAATGATAATTTACTTCGCCATTCCCTGCTGTATGAGAAATCATAAACAATCCTATAAGTTTCACAAACAAAATATATAAACAACATGAACAAAAAACCGAAATTGATGAACCGGTAAGCAAGGAATGGTGCCAAAGAGACCAACTCAAAAGGCCTAGAACAACAAGATCATATGTTCCCTTGATGTGTTTTTCTTGGTCATGGATTTGACCTGAGATAACCCATTTGATCCACAAGTTCCTGCAAATCATCGCCCCAATCCGCAGGGTTCGCCGCCAAATCTTCGACTTGAACATCAACTTCAGTTTGATCACTCACCACCAAAAGTTCCTCCTCTGGTTCACCAGCTATCAAGTCTTCATTTATCAACTCTTCCCATATTGTCTCATTAACATCCAAACTATTAGTCACACTTGACATGGGCATTGTACTTGCTATATGATCCTTGATTTCACTGCTCGATTCATTGTCCATGGAAGAAGCGAAAAACGTCTCAATATCGTACCCAATGGTATCCAGATCTTCTTGCTCCTCAACTTGATCAATATCAACCACCCATGGGACTGCTTCTTGTTGCAGATTCTCCACACTGGGGCTCGCTGCTAGTCGCCGTTTTCGCCCGATTTCGACCGTCGGGACCTGTCTTTGCCGAGCAAATTGCTGAAAAAAAGTCGGGTTTCGGAGAGCTTTAGCAAGGAACGCCATTAGCTGCTGCTGTTTCCTCTCTGCTTCATGTAACCTTTCCTCCATTGCAACAACTTGGTCCCTTGAATGCTGCTGTTGCTGCCTTAATTGCACGATTTCGGCTTGTAAAACACTCCGATCCCTCTTCAGTTGCTCCAGCTCTTCATCAAATCCAAATTGTCCTATCTCAACACAAGCTCCCTCACCTTGATGGTGTGAACTTTGCACCAAATTTCTTCTCCTTTTGATCGTTTTCAGTAGGTGTTTTTGCCCTCCGAGGAACCCTTCATTGGCAAATTCCCATCGATCTGGATCAATTTTTCTAAAACCCTGCATCCACCATTACAGTGATTACTACATATCTTGATCACCAATTTTTTAAGAGAAGAAAAGAAAAAAAAACCCAACAAATCGTAAGTGAAAATACTTACATATGTATTGAGCTGGCGAATGAAACTGGAGAAATTTTTGTGCTTGAAATACCTAGGAAGAAGCGTGGTTGAGAATTTGTGAGAATCCCACACAATGAAGCTATTACGAGCTTTACTCCATGAAACCACCGAGTCCGTCGATGGGTCTTCCACCATTTCGAAAATCTTGGTCAGAAACGGCGGCGGACCAACCTCATTGAGCCATTCCCGCGGCTGCGGAATGGCGGTGGAAGACGAAGATGATGACGATGACAATCCCGCAGCTCCAGGAGCAGCAACCGTCACTTGAGCTTCCTCTTCCTCTATTACCACCACTCCTTCCATCAGTTCTTTGTAATAACAAAAAGAAAAGAAAAAAACAAACACGAACAACGCTCTGCTATGCTATTGCGTTTTCACTTTTATGTCAGTGTTCTGTCTGAAATTGTTCATACTTGGTAGAAAAAGAAATCCACTGACAGAGCTCGTTGGCTTATTATGGTAATGACAGTGATGTGTGTGTATATATATATATATAAGAGCTGGAGAAGAAAGTTCTAGAAAGTTTCTGCATTTGGCAAAAAAGTTCTGAAAACTTCTCTATGGTTCCAGACAAGTGGGAACCACTTTATATCATCTCACAGGATTTTTCATGTCTCCAGCTTTGGACACGTAAGCTGCTAGATTTTTCAGGGTTCTTACTTTTTGGGTAAATTACGTACTTAGTACCTAAACTATCAATTTTATTTTTTTAATACCTAAACTTTATTTTTTTCAAAACAATATATAATGTTTAGTTTTTATTTCATTTTAGTAACTAAAATTAAAAACTTAACGCGTTTAGTACCTAAACTAAACTATCAGTTTTGGTGCGTTGTAGTACCTAAATTTGCAATTTTTTTCGGAACTTAACTTTAAATTTTGAAAGAGAGTGTTAAAATGAAACAAAACTAAAGTTCTTAACTATGGATATTATAAAATGAAACAATAACTAAATTTTATGTATTGTTTTTGAAAAATTAAAAGTTTAGATACTAAAACTGATAATTTAGGCACTAAACGTAATTTACCATTACTTTTGTGAGACGAGGAGGAAATAATTTAGTCACCGGACGAGATGAACCAATGACCCTGTCAAGTTGATGAAATATTGAAATATGTTGGGGTGGACAAGCATAGATCTAGATTTGCAGGTTTTCCTGTTGTAACCGGGAATCCCAGTAAACTCTAATCCTTTGTTCAAGACAAAACTGATACATAAAGTTGTAAATATTCTTATCTAATACTCGTATTAAAGTCCGAATAGGTAGCTTTATGCTACGTTACATTAGTTGCCCCAAGCCTGATTGATTGCAGAAACAAGAAATATTCATAAATCATATGAATTCGAAATCTAAAGTAGTCATACATGTGATAGTTCTTTCACTAGGATGAATAAAAAGTGTTCATGTCATTTCTAAATGTTCCCCAGAAACTAGATCATCAACAAATCAGTATGTTTCATCAATGACCATTGCAATTGCAACAGTAATTTCCTAGACATGAACAAGGGGGTACCCTGTTTAATTATTTCTCAAGAAATCCTCAGATATGGTTTCGGTTTTCGATGTCCTAGCATGATTCCGTGTTCTCCAACCTTTCCCTGCAGTTAATCCAGACTTTATTCATACTCCATGCATGCAGGCTTTAAATTGTTACACTCAGAGTTCCATTGTTGAATGCAAAGAGATGGGCTTCGTTGTTGATAGCCAGCTTTGGATAGACTCTTGCTGTGATACAAGTTCTTCCTTTTCCACCGAAACTCCCGATTATCAAGTGATCGATCTGCCAAAAAATATGGTACAAACACATCAACATTCACACGAAAAGGACCCTGCATCAGTAAATAGAGAACAGCGAACTTGAATCGACGCACCAATGTTCTTAGTGAAACCATTTCCTGGTGTGGATCGATGTCGACAAAAGCTCCGTATGTGGTTTTATCCAAGTTGTTTCGCAACGAAGACCTGTGAATAACATGTTTAAACATTGAATCAAATGAATGTGGATGACTTATTGCACAACTGTGGATAGTTATGGAAAGAAGCAGTAACCAACCTTTTCTGCTCACTGCACATATTGTTGCCAAAGCTAATAAACCAAATGGTCCGTATTTTCCGGTGACAGATGAGTCTTGTCTGTCGCAGATTAGTTGGGGATCAACCAAACTGGTATCCATGAATTCCGCCTCTTCTAGTTCGGGCAATTCGAATATTATTTCTGTATCGACCTTTGAACAATGTAAGAAAGTTTTCATTATGATAATGCAATTATTTCAAATACATTTGACGGTGATTAATGCACACCAATAGAGTTCTAACTCACCTGTGAAGCAGTGATGCCAGAAACTTCAAAAACCGATCCGCTTTCGAGATGCTTGCCATAAATATAGACCTGATTCTCACGTAGATTGTTGAGTTCATCCACTGGCTACTGTACTAATTGCTTTCCAGATCCATCTAGCCAAATCTTCCTCGGAATCGCTTGCAAAGGAATATCTGTTAACCGTTAAGGATCGGAGTGATTCTAATACATCATGCAGCATCAGGCAATATGTAATGTCAATCACCTGAAGTCCAGACCATCCTTTCTGTATATCGTCTTCGGAACTATCGGATTCATTTACCCAAGCCCATAGTACCCTTCGGTTCTTCTTACCGTCAAAGAACGTATTTGAGGGATAGAATTTACCGTAATCGATTCTCAAGTCCGAATTGGTTCCCTTAAAGTCGACATCAGGAAGGAACTTTTCCTGCTCAGTATCATAAGTCCCCACGATGTAGTTAGTAATCATGGGAATTGAAGCTTACCTTCATAACATGCCTAACACTCGGATTTGTGACAGAGGTGTCGACCCCATTGGTGCTGTTAATCGACACGGGAAAGAAGTCCAGGCACTCCCACATATCGGTCTCCAATGCCAAATAAAGAGTTTCTGGATGCATAGTCCAGTTAACAAAATCTTCACTTCGGTAGAGTATGTCCGTGCCCCGTTTATTGCTATAGCTCCCAATGACTACTTTCCAGGTCCCGTCGGGACCCTGCCAAGCAGTTGTTGGATCTCTAAAGTTATCCCCATCAACACCATTTGGTGGAGTCATTAGAGGGTTTCTGGAGTACTTGCTCCATTCTATTAGCAACGGGTCGGATCGATTTTCGGGGTTGCCAGGTTTTGAACCTGGCTATAATTAGCATCAATGCCGGTGTATAAAATGACCGGTTTATTCCCTGAAAGGATCATTTCCGAACCGGAGATGCAACCTAAGGCGTCAAATGGTTCGGATGGAACAAGTGCATGATCAAGACTGAACCAGTTTATAAGATCATATGATGCAGAACGTGCCCACAGCATACCATAACCAAACAATGCACTGTGTGGATTGTATTGGTAGAATAAGTGATAAACTCCATTGTAGTACATTGGCCCTGCACCATATGGAACAAAACTCACTAATCTGATTTCACTGGTTTTGAAGATTTAGCACCCAAACTTTTCATTTTTTTCTAAAGTAGTCATGACTAATACCTAGTGTGACATAGGATCGTACATTAAAGTTGTTTAATGTTCTCGCATGCATATTTGGACATGAAGAAAAGTTCAAAAATGCTTTTCTTACCATTAGGATCTGTGTAGTGAATGTCAGCCATTGTCGTCCCATCATCGAAGCAGATCAGTTGAATCAATTGCCACCAAACAAACATAAAAACAAACACTTGACAGTCAAAGAATTGAATGTTCTAAACATGTAAGCTGCAATAGCAAGATCAGCAAAGCTTGTCTTACCATTCAACCAGTTTTTAGGAGAGTGGGAAGTGATAAGCTGTTCTCTAAGGCTGCTCATCTGGTACTAAAGCCTGGAACGATTGAAACCTTGTATTGTCTCTGTCTGTCAGATAATCACAGTCTTCCATTTAACTCCATTGGTTAGCAGAAAACAAGAAAACCCCACAAACAAAAGCAGAGATCTATCCATGTTTTGCCCCCCAAGGAAAGGCTGAGATGAAACAATGGCTTTGTCTGAACTCTGAATATCAAAATTTATTGAAACGTGGTGAGGTGGAAGAGTTATCTGATGGCTTTTCCTCTTACATCATCAGCTCCATTAGTGCTGCAATCAGGTTGAATTGCGTGTGACAAGTTTCTTGTTTAATTAAAAAAAAAGTAACTTTCAACTACCTTAAATTTTGTCGATATCTGTTTTTTTCTTCAATCGGGGGTGTCAGCTGGACCTTGCTATAATCTTTACCCGAGTCCACTACAAAAGCTGAGTCTTTCTTTTATCAATAAAAGTTTAGTGTTTGTTTAAAACACATACTTATATTATTATATATCTATGAAAATTACAAGTTTAGTATATAAACTGTTAGTTTTGATCTGTTTTAGTATATAAACTTTTATTTTTCCCAAAACCATACCTAAGGTTTAGTTTTTCTTTCATTTAGTACCCGTTCAAAATTTAACATTAAGTTTTGATTTTTTTTTTTGAAAGTTTAGGTACTAAAACGGGCCAAAACTGATAGTTAGGTACTAAATGCGTTAAGTTTTTAACGACATGGTACTAAAATAAAACAAATACTAAACGTTACGTATGGTTTTGAAAAAATTGGAAGTTTAGGTATTACTCGTATTAAAGTCTGAATAACGTAGTTTTGTGCTATGCTACATTAATTGTCCCAAGCCAGATTGCAGCACAAGAAATATGCACAAATCAAATGAATTCAAATTCTAAAGTAGTATATCAGATAGATCTTTCATTAGGTAGAATAAAAAGAGTTCATCTTTTCATTTCTAAAAGTTTCTCAGAAGCTAAATCAACAACAAATCAATAAGGTACATCAATGACCATTGCAATTGTAGCTGTAATTTCCTAGACATGAACAAGGGGCCACCTTGTTTACTTATTTCTCGAGAAATGCTCTGGTATAGTTTCGGTTTTCGCTGTCCTAGCACGATTCCGTGTCCTCCAAGCTTCCCCTGTAGTTAATCAGGGCTTTATTCATACTCCATGCATGCAAGCTTGAAATTGTTACACTCATAGTTCCATTGTTGAATGCAAAAAGATGGGCTTCGTTGTTGATAGCCAGCTTTGGATAAACTCTTGCTGTGATACAAGTTTTTCCTTTTCCACCGAAACTCTCAATTATCGAGTGATCGATCTACAACAAAAAATGGTAATAACACATCAAGATACACACGAAGACCCTGCACCAGTAAATAGAGAACGGCGAACTCGAATTGACGAACCAAGGTTCTTAATGAAACCATTTCGTGGTGTGGGTCGATGTCGACAAAAGCTCCGTACGTGGTTTTGTCCAAGTTGTTGCGCAACGAAGACCTGTGAATAACATGTTTAAACATTGAATCAAATTAATGTGGATGACTCATAGCACAACTGTGGATAGTTATGGAAAGAACCAGTAACCAACCTCTTCTGCTCACTGCACATAAGTACTACATATCTGTTATCGCTTCGAAAAATCCTAAAGAAAATCGCAGTTCGTTCTTTCAAGTCCTTTGTTGCTAAAGCGAATAAACCAAATGGTCCGTATTTTCCGGTGACAGATGAGTCTTGTCTGTCGCAGATTAGGTGGGGATCAACCAAACTGGTATCCATGAACCCTGTCTCTTCTAGTTCAGGCAATTCAAACATTATTTCTGTATCGACCTTCAATCAGTGTAAGAAAGTTTTCATTATGATAAATGCGATTACTTCAAATACATATGATGGTGATTAATGCGCAACAATAGAGTTCTAACTCACCTGTGAAGCAGTGATGCCCGAAACTTCAAAAATCGATCCTCTTGCGAGATGCTTTCCATAAATATCGACTTGATTGTCACGTAGATTGTTGAGTTCTTCCACTGGCCACTGTACTAATTGTTTTCCGGCTCTGTCTAGCCAAACCTTCCTCGGAATCGCCTGCAAAGGAATATTCGTTGACTGTTAAGGATCGGTGTGATTCTAATACACCATGCAGCATCAGGCAATATGTAATGTCAATCACCTGAAGTCCAGACCATCCTTTCTGTTTATCATCTTCAGAACTATCGGATTCATTTACCCAAGCCCATAGTATCCTTCGGTTCGTCTTACTGTCAAAGAATGTCTTCGAGGCATAGAATTTACCGTAGTCAATTCTCAAGTCTGAACTGGTTCCCGTAAAGTCGGCATCAGGAAGGAACTTTTCCTGCTCGTTATCATAAGTCCCCACAATGTAGTAATCATGAGAATTGAAGCTTGCCTTCATAACATGCCTAACACTCGGATTTGCGACAGAGGCGTCGACCCCATTGGTGCTGGTAATCGACACGGGAAAGAAGTCCGGGCACTCCCACATAGTGGTTTTCGATGCCGAATAAAGTGGTTCTGGATGCATAGTCCAGTTAACAAAATCTTTACTTTGGTAGAGTATGGCCACGCCCTGTTTATTGCTATAGCTTCCAATGACTACTTTCCAGGTTCCATCGGGACCCTGCCAAGCAGTTGTTGGATCTCTAAAGTTATCTCCATTAACACCATTTGGTGGAGTCATTAGAGGGTTTCCGGAGTATTTGACCCATTCAACTAGCAAGGGGTCGGATCGATTTTTTGGGGTTGCCAGGTTTTGAACCTGGTTATAGTTAGCATCAATGCCGGTGTATAAAATGACCGGTTTATTCCCTGGAAGGATCGTTGTTGAACCGGACCAGCAACTTATGGCGTCAAATGGCTCGGATGGAACAAGTGCATGATCAAGACTGATCCAGTTAATAAAATCATATGAAGCAGAATGTGCCCACACCATTCCTTCACCAAACAATGCGCTGTGTGGATTGTATTGGTAGAACAAGTGATAAACTCCATTGTAGTACATTGGCCCTGCATCATATGGAACAAAACTTACCGATCTTATTTCACTGGTTTTGAAGATTTAACACCCAAACTTTTCATTTTCTTCTAAAGTAGTCATGTCCAACACCTAGTGCGACACATGCTCGGACATGGGATATGGCATGATCTTTCAAACATATGAAAAAACTTTAAAAATGCTTTTCTTACCATTAGGATCTGTATAGTGAATGTCAGCCATTTTTGTCCCATCGTAAAAGAAGATCAGTTGAATCAATTGCCACCAAACAAACATAAAAACAAACACATGACAGTCAAATAATTGAATGTTCAAAACATGTAAGCTGCAAGAACAAGATCGGTAAAGCTTGTCATACCATTCAACCAGTTTTTAAGAGACTGGAAGTGATAAGCTGTTCTGTAAGGCTGCTCTTCTGGTACTAAAGCCTTGAACGATTGAAACCTTGTGTTGTCCGTCTCTGTCAGATGATTACAGTCTTCCGCTTTAACCCCATGGATTAGCAGAAAACAAGAAAACCCAACAAAAAAAAGCAGAGATTTATCCATGTTTTGCTCCCCAAAGGCTGAGATTCATACTTATGAATTCGTCTGAAAGATCAAAATTTATAGAAGGACAAGGCCAACCCAGGAATCTTCCGAGAACTGTTTTCGTATGAAGAAAAACAGGGTCTCCATGATCAAATTTGAAGAAGTTACGTCATGATTAAAATAAGGAATAAGTGTTGAATTTGCAATAAGAAGTGAAGGATTTTACAAGTGGATGAAACTGTGAGGTGGAAAGCTTTCCTTTTACATCATCTACTTCATTATTGGTGCAGTCAGGTTGAATTGCGTGTGACAATTTTACTTGTTTAATTAAAATTAAACTTTATTTTCCATCTACCTTAAATTATGTGGATATATGTTTCTCTTGAGTAATATATTATTTTATAATTAGATTTAAATTTAACAAATAATAATTTGGGTTGGTCTGAATGAGCTTAACTAATTGATAGAAAGGTCCAATTAGTCTCTTATTGGACCGGTTTATTTGGACTCTATTAAAAAGATTTGGTTTTTTCCGCCCAATAGGGTAAATCAGGTCGGCTCTGGGTATTTTTTTGCCCAGGACGAAATAAAAGAAATGTGTCCCTATTTGTATTATTTCTTTTTTGGCTCGGGACGAAATAAAAGAAATGGACCTTAAACAATTTAATTATTTGCTGAATAATATGGAAAATATTATGGGCCCTGGGCGGGCACCCCTTCTACCCCGGCCCAGGGCCGGCCCTGGGGTAAACGGATAAATTATTTGGGAAATAGGGTAAGTAGAAGTTTATTTTGGGATTTACGACATTTTCTATAGTGTCCATGGAACTCATCACCTGGAACTAGTCACCTCGATATGATGAGTTCCAAAAAACATTTTTTATTTTAAATTTGACATATCGAAGTGACGAGTTCCAATAAAATATAATTTTTTAATTAAATTTTATCACATCGGGTAAAAATTTTGAATAAAAAATTATTTTTATTGGAACTCGTCTCCTCAATATGACGAATTCCAAGTCACTGTAACAAATGACGTAGATCCCTAAATGAACTTCTATATGTCTTATTAGGCTAATTACTTAAAATGTTTGCCCTATCGGGCAAAAAAAACCAAAGATTTGTCCAGGAAAAATATATACTCAAACTTATAAAACTAAATCATTATACAACCTTTTTCCCCCCTCCAGTTTTAAGGTTTTGTCTTGACTAATTCGTATCGACTTGAGTCGCACACTTGGTTTTGATGGGTGAGTCTCTCAACATGGATTTTCTACATACATACTCGAACCTGAAACCTTACTTAACCGATATCAAGTTACTTACCATTTTTTAGTAAATATTAGGGTAGGCAACCTTCTTTTTATAATATATAATGTCAACATTATTTATTCTGCTTAATGAAAAAAATATATTAACATTATTTGTAATACTTTAATTCTTATTATACAACTTCTCTAAAGAAAATCTAACCCTGCTCACTTTCTTTTATGTTTGGTTGGTAAGCATAGTGCACTGAGAATTCAATCGAGTTGAGTCGAGTCAACAAAATTCAAGTTATTCGAGTTGACGAATCGTGTTTTGTGATCCGAACTTGACATTTTTCAATCTGAGTCGAGTTATTCGAGTTTCTATACAAATTTTATTATAATTATTTATAGTATTATGGTAAGCATTGATTCCAGTTTTTTGATTTTCTCTAACCATAAAAGATATATATGTGTGTGTATTCATATTCTTTTTCACATTATAATATTATTTAATATATCAAATACAATCTAAAATTATAAAATATATTTATAATATTATACTTTAAATAATATATTTTGAGGATAAAGTATTAATGAGAGTATAAAAGAGTAAAAGAATTGATGGGAATAAACAATTTGAAAACAATTACAGTCAAAAATCCAAATTGAGTAAAATATAAAGTTAATGGACTAAATAAAAGAGAGTATATTTTTAGTAAAAATAGGAATTGAAGTTACATAGATATTCTATAGTGGTATAGGAGCATGTGGTTCAAATTTGATAAGAAATAAACTTAAAATGAAGGATGAATTAAAAGAATATGGAAATTATAAAAAGTTAAGGGACTAAATTGAAAAATTAATTTTTTATCCAAAAAAGAATTGAAAGCACATATGTATTATACGATAGTTTAAAAGCATGTGGTTCAAATTTGGTAAAAAATGAGCTTAAAATGAATGAGAAATTGAATGAATAAGGAAATCATTGACTAAATCGTAAAATTGTCAAAATAGTCAGGCAAATTTTTGGTTTTTCGAGTAACTTGGAATTTCCAAATTTCAACTCAACTCGAACTTGAAAAATGAAATGATAATTTGATTTGACTCAAATAACTCAGCTCAAATAAATATAAATTGGAAAAAATCAAATTTTCGAGTATAACACCCTTCACTCGTATACATATTAAAATATGAGTAAAATATGTCATATACCTTTACATACATTCTAAGGTTGAAAATCCAGTAAAATTTTGAACTCTTAAAATTTATTCAATTTTAATCCTTTCAATAAATAATGTAATCACGTAAAATTATATTATAATATTTAAGCCTATAAATCAATACCAATTTCAGGCAACAACTAGACAGTTCTATATTATTCCATATCATACGATAAATTGTCTAATTACTGTCTAACTTAAAATATTTATTTACTATGTCAAAATATATTTTTTATTTAAAACACAAAACTTAAATTCATAATAACATATCTTAGATTTTTCTTATTTGTATACATGTTATTTAGAAAATTTAAAATAGTAGGATGTCATTACTGATACTTGAAACTTTTTCTTTATTGATTGATGCCCACTCAGCTCCTTACTTCACTTGCTCTTCTTTACCTATGCGCGAAAATCTTCACACGCTAAGTATACACTTAGTGAGACATTATAAACAAACTAAAGTGATATAAATATCAAATAGTTTAGCAACATCTAAACAACATATTCACTTATATAAAACTTAAATTCCAATAAAATCACTAAATATCAAGAATGATTTATCAAGTAATTTTTCTTCATCAAGGATATGAAAATCATCATCTCATGATTTTATCAAAACCATGATAACAATACCATACATAATAGTCATATCAAAGCCATGATAAACAATATCATACATAGTAGTCATATCATATTTTTTCATTCATATACAATACAAAACTTTCATATCTCATTTTCATCTTTCACTTTCATATTCACTTTCATATTTCATTTTCATAATTCATACTTTCACATTTCAGAACTTATTTTCGGACTTTAAACTTATTTAAGATTCATAACTTAATTTCATATTCATAACTTATTTTCAAGTTCATAACCTAATGCATATTTATGAGAATGCAAGGTATGCGAGTCATACATAATGTGCACACTAAGCACTTCATTATGTCAATCATCATCATAAGATGCATTCCAAATGCTAAACATATCATATGCACCAGCGGTGCCATATGTAATGTACACGAATGTACCATAACTTGACTTAACTTGAACTTTACTCAACTTCTTGACATGTCAAGTGTACCTATGACTCTCAATGCAACATACAATGAGCTTTTCTATTAATTATTTTATGTTATTGAATATCAAAGATATCAATATATCAACATAAATGACCATATCATAACATAATGGTATGTTCATACCCCTTAAACATTTATATATCATAACCATGCTCAATTAACTTTCTTAAACATAAACACATCATATTCGTCATGACATAAATAATCTTAACTATCGTATGCCAAGTGTAATAAAGTTGACACATTTCAAACATTTATAATAACATATAACATAGGAGTAACGTGAAAACATAATTTATGACAAGTTTCATATATTGGCGGTTTGCACTGCCTTTAAAAATATTATTTTGTATTAATCTACATATTTAAAAATTATTTTGTTTATACTATTGGAAACTAGACTCGAATACAAATCTAACCATATGAGACATTCCTTCTAGTTCATCTTGTATAATTTATAGTGAATTTTCAAAGTTGACTTACAGAAGTTGTTTTGAGAAGAATCTGATGTCCTATTTTCTAACTTATCATAGATTAAAAATTCATATCGCTTTTGTATACTTCTTGAAATCAGTAGCCGTTTGTTCTTTAAAAAACTAGACTGATATGCAAATCCAACAACATAAAAATCATCCCCTAATCATTTATGTAGAATTTATGGTGATTTTCTAAACTTACTGTTCATAACACAAATCTTGACAAATTTCACCAACTTATATTTTTCAGCTTATTCACTAATTCTAGTAGCATACCAAATGAACATAGATGCATAAATCACAAAATTTCATAACTTTTATGAGTCACTTCTTACCATAGCAACTTTGTTACCGACTCATTGCAAGCTAATGTTTGCAGGATATCATAAATACAAATTAAATATGCACTGACATGTAGTCATTTAATTGCAATTTTCCTTAGAATTTCATATTTCATCCTTAAGCTATCTTTAGCTTTAACATTGCTTGTTATTAATTTCAAGCACACAGTCTAAATAAATATCATTTACAAAACATGTATGTTTCAAACCATATGTTAGAATCTCACTGACATGTGTACATAGTAGAAAATAAATTCCTAAAAATCTTTCGATACTAATTTCATGTCACAACATAAATGTTGACTTTAACACTTCAAATTGACCATTCAATTTTCTTTTTATCCAAATTCACCCAAACTTCACATGACCTTTTTCAACTTTCCATTTTAACTACTAATTATGAATTATTTTATAATTCATCTAAACTTTTCCATTTTATTCTAAATAGTCATTTGCCCTTTTTCTTCAATTCAAGTCTCAAACAACTTAATTAAATTTTCAGCATCTAATTTCCAGCCAAATACCTCAAAAATATCATTATTACCACTTAAGTCTCTAACTTTTCCAATATTTATCATTTACAAACTTTGACAACTTTCCAGATTAGTCTAATTTCACATTCTAACATCAAATCCATCACTCTAACATTAAATTACATCATAGTACAATAACTATTTAACAATTACACATCAATCTTATAACTTTTTAAAATTGTGAAATAGGTCCCCAACTTTCAAAAAATTACATATTGATCCCAAAAAATTTCTAAGGCTTGTAGAACCTTCCAAACATCATGTCTAAGCCATGGGAAATTTTTTCATAATTTTCTCCAATTTCTCAAGTAGGTCGAACGGTTAGGGTTTCAAAATCCATGATTTTTAATTTGATTCAAACATAAATTCAACCTCTAAACAACATTTCAAAGCTTCCACAATCAAACCCTAACATAATTTAACCAAATCACAAATTTCCCAAACTCCTAGGGTTTGGCCAAATGTCATATATAACTTTTACTTGATTTTATTCATCACACATGCCTTAGAATTACTCTCCAACATCAATAACATAAAAATCTTTCATCAAAATTCATAAACCCTAATTTCCAATATCATAAAATAAACATGATTACCATGTAATGTTTATACCAAATGGTAGAGAATTTCATGTAGATTAATTATCTATTTAATAACTTAATCTAAAAAATCAATCATATAAGCTTAAAAATGAAAATGAAAATTCTACTTACCTTGGTATATAATACACAGCTTGGAGGAGAAAACTATGCTGAAAGTTCTCTTGAATTTTCTTCCTTAATCTACTAATACACATGGCTTTAATTAATATAATTGAATTTAATATTTAATTAATGTGAAATTATTATTTTACCCTTAATAAAACATGATAATTTCAACTTATCATTAGAATATTTTCCATTTTAATATTTTTAAGTCAAACATAAACAAATAAAAATCAACTTTCCACCTTTGCCCTTGCATATTTTCAAAAATTACAATATTGTTATTTTTCATCCAAAGGTCCAAATTGAACATGAAAATTAATTCTCAAATCTAATAATTTATATTATTTTCCATCATTTTAAAATGTGGAAATAATATTTATAATATAAATTTAACATCCTTCAAATTTTCTTAAAATTTATATTCGATCCAATTTATCGAATTTTTACCGAACTTTAATACTTTCTAACTTTTAACATAAATTCTATATAAAAAATATGAATCCAACCAAAATGTCATTTTTGGGGTGAATTATTCATTTATAGAATAAAAATTCTTTTTGAAAAAATTACCACTTTGATTCCTAAACTTTTCGTAATTTTATACTTTGACCACTAAACTTTCACAATTTATGTTTTGGTCACTAACCAAAATTTTGAGGTGCTACATCGGGTCGAGTCGAATTTTGCTCACCTCTAAACAAATACAGTAGATTTGTTGTAACTCATCATCAGTCTCGAACTCAAAAACTGAAACGATAATTCGAGTTGACTCGACTAACACGAATAACTCAAAATTAAAAAAATACTTTTTCGAGTCGATTCATATTTTAATCGCCTCTAAGAAGAGACATATTAGCTTTGTTGTAACTCGTCAACCATCGATATTCTTTATTTTTCTTATTTTTTTATCCCTTGTTTTTGTTTTATTTTTATCTTTAATAACTATACTTTATGGAACATTTTTTATCTGTTAGTAGGGTGAGCTTTGAGTTTTTTTTATGGATTGTTTAATTATTTTTTATTTATTTATTTTTCTATTGATTAAATTTGATGTCGCCTCAATTATTTAAGATGATGCTTATTAGTTATAATTCTAATTTTCTCTACCTTAGACCCTCAGATTACATTTAGATACACATTTTACATTCTTAAATGATTTTTTCCATAATACTCAACTCTGATTTACAATTGTCGATGATCTTTCAGTAGTTTAATCCATGTTATATTCCGTTTGTCAATACAATCAAATTTGTTTGTATGTATCATTTGTTTGAGTTTTTGATTTTTTTTTTATATTTTTCTTATTTGGTACTTGTTTAGATTTTGTTTATTATTGTACGTTATAAATTTAGACATTTTCTTTTTTAATAAATTAATAATTTTTATTATGTGTCAAAAAATTAAGGATATTATTTTAATAATTAATCGAATCCGTAATATACAATACTTAATAATATCAATATTTTTACCATATCTTCTATTTACATGGTTATTAAAATGACACGTCATCGCATATATCAATTTGATATATTTTCATGCATTGATTTGACACAGGAACCATATCAAATTGAAAAAATTGTCAACTTTAAGTACCAATTGTATAATAAGCCTAAATCTTAAGAAAATGTTAGAGGACCAAAAACAGCAAAAAGGAAACTGAAAGGGTAAATACGACAATTCGTAAAGAAGATCTTCTCGTCTTGACCGACTGCTACTGCAAGATGCACATCAATGATCAAACCAAAAAACATATTTTTTTTTCACGCACTCTCTGTTAACTTGAAAACATTTTATCCAAAATTATAAAATTAATTTAACGATTCACGCACTCTCCAGATTTTTCTTCTTCCAACACTCGTTTTTCCCTCAAAATTTTCCCCATCATCCTTCATTTTCTCGCCAACCAAACAAACCCGCGCACGGGATAGAGATAGAAAGGATAGAAAGATCAGACTGTGTGTTTTGGTTTCTGTAAAAGGCGATGGCTTGGAGACGCGTAATCTCTCAGGTTATCTTCCCTCTCTCGAGCTTCGTTTTGCCTAGCACTTCATATCTTATTGTTAAGCCGTGATTGTTGTTTATGTATTGGATTTTTATGATATGAGGTTTTAAGAATCGGGGATTGAAGGAACCCTTGTTGCCTTTGAAACTTAAATCCGAGCTTAGGATAAGTTGAGTAGGAGATTAAAGAGCAATGAAATTGAAATATGGAATCTTCGATTTTTTCCGTTGGACGTAATACTCATTTTGCTTGAGCTGATTGGGACTTTTATTGGTTCAAAAACTCGGTTTTCCCTCTTTAAGGTGTTTCATTTTTCATTTAGTCGATATGCATATTTGCAAATGCCGTATTCCATGGGATATTGTTTAAAGCGGTAAAGTTTTGAAGTGATTAGATTGGTACGAAGCTTAGTTATTTTCTTTTGTGGATTTTTTTCTTACTGTAGAGTAATTTGTATTCAAGACGTATATTTGAATGTTTGTGCGTTGAAATAAACGCTAAGCCTCATTTTCATTTCGAAGCAGGTATCTAGACAGCAATCAGAACTGGGACAAATTAAAAACTTGTTTACCCAATCTCATCTCTCTGGTATTTTTGTTTCTTTCAATCGAGCTTTTTATATTATTTCATTATCTTCATAGTTTTATTCTTTTTGTCTTTCCAATATTTGGTTTAACCTGTCCTCAACACAAAATTTTGTTGCCTAAGCTGAAATCTTGTCGGAGTGCAGGAGGTAATAGGATTTTGACTGGCCAACAGAGGTTTAGGTCGAGCTATGCAGTTAATTTATCTCGCAGAGTCCGAGATGCCGACGAAGCTAGCGAAGCTGCTAGTCTTAGAGAACTTTATCATAGAAATGATCCTGAGGCAGTGATAAGACTATTCGAAAGTCGGCCATCATTACACTCCAATCCATCTGCACTTTCGGAATATGTTAAAGCGTTAATTAAAGTTGACAGGCTTGATGAAAGTGAGTTACTTAAGACATTACAAAAAGGTAAGTGGACTTGCTATCTTGCATTTTTTAATTTCTTCTAAAATGTTGGTTTTGCAGTATTCTTTTTCCCACTTTGCTGGAGAAGTCATTAAACCTAGTTTCTAATCTGATGATGCTTTCGAATTCTCTGTTTTTTTGTGTGTGAAAAGGATAATATTATTAAAGCTATATCAAGAACACAACCAAAGCTAAAGGCTTCTTTAAAAAACCTCCCTAAGCTTAAATGGAGGAAAAAGAGTGCCCATAGCCAAGGTTGAAGATACAAACACGAGCATAGCTCAACACAAAACCCTGAAACGATCAAATAACCCGCAAAAACCAAACTAACCAAAACAAGCAACAAAGGCAAGCAGGCTAGAGCCCTAGCCCTATATCAGCCCCACCTAACTCAGCACCATACCAGCAACCTAGAAACACTGCACCAGAGGCAAAGAAAGAGCCTGTTTGGCAAAGAAATCAGCCATCCAATTACACAATCTGGGAGTATACTTAATGGCAAAATTCTCATTCTTGGCGGTCGAAACCATAGGACTAAGAAAGTTGGCCCAATCTGAAGGACCAGTAGAAGGCGACGCGAACCAATCTACAATTTCCAAACAATCGTGTTTGATGATAAGAGCGAACACCCTGAAACATCTAGAATTAAAAAACGACTTAATAGCATAATCTACTGCCAGCAACTCCGCAAGCAGAGGAGAGCCTCCACCGATTGGAACCGAGAAGGAAAACAGAGTGTTGGAATCCACATCGCGAAGAATCCCGCCGATCCCATCTCGGCGACCATCCAAAATCATAGCCCCATCCACATTGAACTTCAAACTACCCATTGGAGGGGGGATCCAAGATGACAGGGATAAAGCCTGAGACGAAAGTAGAATAGAATCAACACCCCTGAGTAAATCTCCTACTAAAGACTCCATACAAAGCAACGAATCGGGAAATTTAGCCTTCAACCAAGCAACCACGCGATATTTAATAAGAAACGCTACACGACAACTGTCAACCTTCTTCTGATTAAAGACTACCTCATTGCGAAGTAACCAAATTGACCAAATTACAGCAAAAGGTAACGTTCTCCACACTAGCTTATACCGAGTATCGGGGATGGACTCCCACCAAGAAGAAATGAAACTGATAGTGTCCGAAGGAAAAACCACTGACCCCCCAACACACACATAGCAACAAAGATCCCTCAGATTTTCCAAGAGACTTCACATGAGAAAAATAAATGATTTACTGATTCCGGCTGCTTCGAACACAACGGGCAGAACAGATCAGAAAGCTCTACACCTCTTCGAGTGAGTTCTACCCTAACCGGAACTCTCTGCTTTGCCGCTTTCCAAATGAACGCTTCCACCTTGACTGGGGCAATTCCAACCCAGATGAATTCTCTGTTAAACTATATTAGGTCATTTATTTCTGAATATTTTCCACTCTTTGCCTTTCTGTATCTTTGTTAACTAGAGATTATGCAAATTACAGGTATCTCCAATTCAGCAGTTGAGGAAGAGAGTAAAAGTGGCCTTTCAGTTTTCCAAAATGTGGGGAAATCGACAAAACATGGTGTACTAGGAACTGCTGGTGCTCCTATCCACACGGTGACTGCAGAAGCAGGAAATTTTAAAGATCAGTTGTGGCGTACTGTTCGTAGTATTGCACTTGGCTTCTTGTTGATTTCTGGTGTTGGAGCACTTATTGAGGATAGAGGGATTAGTAAAGGTAGAATGTTTAGGTGACAATTTCCTCTAAATTGTCTCTGCATTTTTGAATTGATAGTACTTTTTCTGGGTTCTGAATGATTGAATAATCTTGTTTTAGGACTTGGTCTACATGAAGAGGTGCAAGTTGTGGAATCTAACACAAAATTTAATGATGTCAAAGGTGTTGATGAGGCAAAGGCAGAGTTAGAAGAAATCGTCCACTACCTTCAAGATCCTAAGGTAAATGCACTTTTTGATTTAGTAAATATCGCCCTCCCTCCCTCCCATTCTTTCTTCCTCTCTCTAAATACCTTTTCCCTTGTTGCAGCGCTTCACTCGTCTTGGTGGTAAGCTTCCAAAAGGAGTCTTGCTTGTTGGTCCACCTGGTAATGGGAAAACAATGTTAGCAAGAGCTATTGCTGGAGAGGCTGGGGTACCTTTCTTCTCCTGCAGTGGCAGTGAGTTTGAAGAGATGTTTGTTGGAGTTGGAGCGCGAAGAGTAAGAGATCTTTTTGCTGCTGCAAAGAAACGATCACCATGTATTATATTTATCGATGAGATAGATGCCATAGGTGGAAGCCGTAATCCAAAGGACCAACAGTACATGAGAATGACTTTGAATCAGTTGCTTGTTGAATTGGATGGATTTAAACAGAATGAAGGAATTATTCTAATTGCAGCAACTAATTTTCCAGAATCATTGGATAAGGCGCTGGTCAGACCTGGAAGATTTGACCGCCGCATTATTATTCCTTTTCCAGATGTTGAAGGGCGGAGACAGATTCTGGAATCTCACATGTCAAAGGTACTGTGTTTACTGTGTAGAAGTCCATGTGCTTTAGGAGTCTGAGCTTGAATTGACGTTTGTTTATAGGCTGTTCTTCGTCCAGATGGTGCTTGGTAGACCCTGTTGGAGCATGTATCATAAAATATGCTTCCAATTAACGTCTTTGCTAATTTACCCTTTGGTTCAATTACATCAACATTTTGGTTTCCGTCTCTCTGTATTAGACTTGTGTTGTATCACTGTCATGCATGTCTAACTATTCGTTCTGGTCTATTACAGGTGTTGAAGGGAGATGATGTTGATTTGATGATCGTTGCTAGAGGTACTCCTGGATTCTCTGGTGCTGATCTTGCAAATCTGGTCAACGTTGCTGCAGTGAATGCTGCAATGCATGGTGCTAAACAAGTGACAATGGCTGATCTGGAGTACGCAAAGGACAAAATCATATTGGGAAGTGAACGTAAGTCGGCAGTCATTTCTGAAGAGTCGCGAAAACTGACTGCTTTCCATGAGGCTGGCCATGCCCTTGTTGCCATCCATACGGATGGGGCCCTTCCTGTTCACAAAGCAACAATAGTCCCTCGAGGGATGGCTCTTGGTATGGTGTCCCAGTTGCCTGACGTGGATCAAACAAGCTTCTCCCGAAAACAGATGCTTGCGAGGCTTGATGTTGCCTTGGGTGGGTGGGTTGCAGAAGAACTCATTTTTGGAGAAAATGAAGTTACTTCCGGTCCTGGATCTGATCTTGAGAATGCAACTAAACTAGCCAGATCTATGGTTACGAAGTATGGAATGAGTAAAGAAGTGGGACTCGCTACACATTCTTATAACGACGATGGTCAGAGCCTGAGCTCCGAGACAAGACATCTTATAGAGAAAGAAGTAAAGTATTTGTTGGAAAAGGCATATAACAATGCAAAAACAATCCTCACCACCTACAGCAAAGAACATCATGCACTCGCTAATTCATTGCTTGAGCACGAGACACTCACAGGAGCTGAGATTAAGGCTTTGCTTGCACAGGTCAACTCTCAGCAGCAGCAACAAGAACAGCCTCAAGAGATGATTGTATCACAGAATGAACCTCAGTCGAAACCAGTGCCTCCAAGTTCAAGTCCAGCTGCATCTGCCTCCGCTGCAGCAGCTGCGGCGGCTGCTGCAACCGCAACCGCCGCAGCTAAAGCCAAAGGTGTTGCTCCGGTAGGACCTTAGCATGCAAGGGCTCTGGGTTGGGGCACTTGTATGGTTGTTATTTCTCGAATTGAATGTACACATAAATATTCTCGATCCTGTTTGAGTTACTAGCTTTGCATGATTGGTGCCACTGGCCACTGGGTTTATTTGTGTATAACCTTGTGTCTGATTTGACTGAAAGATGTAGTTGAAGTTGAAGAATTACCCGGGAGCTGCATTATCACGGTAAGTTAAATTAACGTGGAGTATTCGAAAAATGCATGGAATCCCCCCTTTTATCTTCCTTTTAACAATTTTCCCTCTCATACAAATGATATGTTCCTTTTAAGAGTTTACCTCCTCTGGGAATTGTTTGTATAGCCTAGATAATAAAGTGCATTTCGATCGCTTTTCTGCTGGTATCGTTACCCGTTCCTTCATTGCATCAATGGCCGAGTTGAGGGCAGTTTCTGGAGATTGGTCTTTTTATGTAATTTTTCGCACTTGTTTTCATTTCGATTTGACCATGTTTTATATGTGATATATCCTATGTTAGCTTCGAATCCACATGGGCTTTCTACGTGTGTACCCAAGATTCATGCATGCATTGGATCGGTTCACAACAATCTACGTAGCTCCTCTTTCCATCATTAAAAAAAATGAAGGATCCAAAAGTATCTTCAAACTTGTAGGTTAAGTATTAAACTTTAGGGTAAATTATGTATTTAGTACCTAAACTATTAGTTTTGGTGCGTTTAAGTACTAAAACTTTCACTTCTTTAAAAAATTATACGTAAAGTTTAGATATTAAAATCAAATGATAGTTTAGGTACTAAATACATAATTTACCCTAAACTTTATGTACAAGTCTTTAGTTAGATCATTCAAGTTTGAAAAATTATAGAACTGATCATTTGAATTATCAAAAATTACAAAATATGACGAATCACTAATTCATATCCGTCTTATGCATATAATGCATGTATATATCCACGAATGATGATGCTCCATGGATCGCGAGTCGATGGTAAGGGTAGTGACGATTGATGAATAACTAAATATACACCCTTAAGCACACAATCCCCGCCTCCATAACCGCAATTCCCCGCCAAAAGAAAGCAGCAGCTATAACTGAAAAAGGATTTGGCTATCTGCTTTGCTTTTCATGGTGTTTATATAAATAAAACCCAACGGCAAACTCCCCACTGCAACTTCCAAGAAGCTTAAAATCCATTCCAGAAAAGAAAATCATCACTGGTAATCAAGAAACCTCTCCTTGCGTTTTCGTATCAACTGTATCATGATTGCGAGAAATGACTTATTTTCTTACGCTGTGTTGTTTGCGCAGAATTAGATCTCCCTCGATCCAATGCAGGCGCCGCCGGACATCAGTAGTTGTGCGTTGAATGAGCAGAACCGTCTCTTTCTATGCCGTGTGTGCAAGAACCACGTCCTCGTTGCCTCCGGCGACAACTTCTTTAGCCGCGTATCAACTCTCTCTCTCTCTCTCTCTCTGTTTATTTGTGTGCTTGATTCTTCTCTCACTACCGGAACTTCAGCTCTCGACTTTCTTAATTGTTTCGGCTCAAAATTTCAGATCCGAATGGCGGCGGAGGGTGGAGAGATGGTGGACGGAATCCTCTGCGACAAAACGTGAGATATATCCACTTCATTATGCAATAAAGTACAATATTAATTAATTAATTAAAATTCAATCTTCGTGTTTCATTGATAGACAGTGTCAATCTGCGGTTCAGTGGTCATACTACATCTCACCATGGTAGTTTAGTGGAAAATGTCCATTGCAATGACATCGACTGCGACCTTGTCCTCGGCAAGAGATATGTAAGTTCTTTACCCTTTTTTTTTGTTTGTATATCTCTGTTTTGTTATATATGATATCTGTTTCACTTACTGTTTCAGCTTGCGAGTGGTCAATTGCTGAGGGAGCTTCCAGTTAGGTTTTTTGTATGGGAAGAACAAGAACCGGCCATTTTTCTTAAGCTGTAAGTTTGATTCACTTTCCAGTTGAGTTCTGAATCGTGTTGGTTCTTGAATGAAAATGCCACCTGCAGGGACCGTTTGCTGTATTGGAATGGGTTCCGTCTGGTTGGCCCTGAGGAGGCTTTCATTAACGAAATCTAGAGGTAAGCCAATTTCTACACCGGAAACTACTGCAGTTGGTTTTGTTTTTCAATTTTTTTTTGGTGGGAGAATATTTGTTGTGCCTCTAAACATGATTTTACATTTTGTTTAGAAAATAAATGCTCGTTTTTACTGATTTCTATTTGTCTTTTTCTTCTTATGCTCATATTTATAAATGTCTGATAAGAAACTAAATAAATCGAGATTAAATCAACGTTTATATGTTTGAATACCATTGTATAATTTTATTAAAATATAATTATTAATTTAATAATTATAAAAAATTATAATTCTTAAACATATTTAACTGACGTAAATATAACTATACGTTTGATTAGCCAAACAATTTACGGTTATATGATTATATCTAATTAGCACCATCCAAACACTTCCTTATTAAAATTATTCGTTGCTTAACCTTAAAAAAGTATAGGATAAATTACGTGTTTGGTACCTAAATATTAGTTTTGATATATTTTAGTTCTTGAACTTTCATTTTTTTTTAAAAATCATATCTAAAGTTTAATTTATGTTTCATTTTAGTATACTGCCGTAAAAAACTTTTTTTTTTCATTTTAATAACATGTTCAAATTTAACATTAAATTTTGAAATAAAATAAAATTTTATGTACTAAAACGGACCAAAACTGATAGTTTAGGTATTGAATGTGTTAAGTTTTTAATGGCGTGTACTAAAATGAAATAAAAACTAAATGTTAGGTATGATTTTGAAAAAAATTAAAAGTTTAAGTACTAAAACAGACAAAAAAACTGATAGTTTATGAAATAATGCGTAGTTTACCCTATATTTTTTTATAAGAAACTAAATAAATCAAAATGGAATTAACGTTTATTCGTTTGAATACCATTGTATAATTTTATTAAAATATAATTATTATTTTAATAATTATAAAAAATATATAATTCTTAAACATATTTAACTGAGGTAGATATAATTATACGTTTGATTAGCCATACAAATTACAGTTTCATGATTATATCTAATTAGCACCATCCAAACACGCCCTTACTAAAGTTATTCGTTGCTTAACCTTTAAAAAAGTATAAAATCAATCGAATTTTACCGATAACTACTTTCATCGCGTTTTGCGCCACTGCTTAACACAGAAACGAATTTTATTTAAAAGCTTTAAACCAACGCAATGAATTTTCCACCGCTCTCGCTCTCACGCGAACTGTTTTCTAAGCTTGGAACTCACCGAGTCATTGCAAAGACTACCGAATCGACTCGGAATATCTGCAAATCAACGCTATATTTGTTCCTCGCACTTGCCACTCCCTTCATTGCGTATCACGGCTATCAATCCTATACAATGTTTTGGTCTTCATCTTTATCTTCGTCTCGCTCTCCCATAACCGATGCCGAATCTCTCCGCCGTCAACGAATCAGCTCCAGCGAGCTCTACAACCCCGATGTTTCTTCCAAGGTGAAATTTATTTTGCCAACGGTTCAATTAAAATTTTCATATATATAATTAAATTGCTTGTTTCTAATTTGGAATTTTTCATATTATAGGTTCCGGTTATCTACTCTTCTTACTACGATATCAGCTTCCTCGGAATTGAGAAACTGTAATAATTTGAATTTGAATTTCTCTTAGTTTTTATGTTTCCTTTTTCTAATTTGATTAACTGTTTTTTCCGGAAAAATAAGTTAGTTATTCGTGATTGATGCAGGCATCCCTTCGATTCTTCAAAATGGGGTCGGATATGTAAGTTCTTGATTTCAGAAGGTCATCTGGAAAAAAGCTCTATTGTTGAGCCATTGGAAGCTTCAACTGAGGATCTACTTGTGGTAATTGAATTTTCCCCGTCACTTGATTTATATACACTGTGGCTTATGCTTATTGAGGAAAAAGGAAGATCATAGGTAATGAGAAAGCTTAGTTAATGAGGTCTCTGGCTGCAGTTGAATGTTTGTAAATTGTAATCCCCCCATAATGCGCAGGTGCATACAGAAGCATACCTGAATAGCCTGAAGAACAGTGTGAATGTTGCCAGGATAACCGAGGTACCTTCCTGAATCACCTTATGCAATAATTTTGTTGTTTTTAGCATGAAATTGCTTTATTGAATTCTATTTATTTCATTTCAATTATCAAGTATGATTTTATGGCCTGCTTAAGAATGGGATTTTCCAGAAAAAATAGCTGATTACCTGGATTTCATTTATATTGATTTTGGGTTCATGGGATTTTTTTGTACTGTATGCCCCATTAAATTTTTTACTAGCTGTGCCTGTTATAGTTTGATGATTTTGTTTGGCTGAGGAATAAGTAGTTTCAAATGATGTTATTGTACTTCTCGGATTGATTCAAAGTGTTGTGTTCTGTAGGTTCCTCCTGTAGCGATATTGCCCAATTGGCTTGTTCAGATGAAAGTTCTTTATCCGTTCCGAAGGCAGGTGAAGTCATAGACTCTATGCCTGTCTTGGGAGCTAATTACATCATTTTATTTTTCATTGGAGATTGGATTTTGTTTGAGACTAGTATTATAATGATCATATTACTACAGGTGGGAGGAACTGTATTGGCGGCTAAGTTGGCAAAGGAGCGAGGATGGGCTATCAATATTGGAGGAGGGTTTCATCACTGTAGTGGTGGAAGGGGAGGTGGATTTTGTGCTTATGCAGACATTTCCCTTTGCATTCATTTTGCTTTTGTTCGGTCAAATATATCAAGGTAATGGAATGTCGATTAAAACTAGCAAATGAAGTCCTTGCAATCTTATCTGACATCCTATTCTCAACTAATCAATTAACAACTATATTTTATTAATGGGCTGTTTTCTTTGTACTTTTACAATATTTTCTCAGGGTAATGATAATTGATTTAGATGCACATCAAGGAAATGGTCATGAAAGGGATTTTGGTAATGACGGTAAGGATGCTATATTTTTCCTCGTGGTGCTTTAATTTATCTTTTTTATTTTAGATTTTCAGTGCTTATGTTTAAACTGACAGAGCGTGTTTACATCTTGGATATGTACAACCCTCAAATATACCCATTTGTAAGTGCTTTCTCTGTCTATATCTATATTGCATCTTCTCTAGTTGAACCTCGTATAAATAGTAGGAGGAGAATACTTTCTTGTATTTCATTCATCAACATTGTGGGTATATATACAAGTATAAAGGTCCTAATATATAAAGTATCTCCTACAATAACTATCTAATATTATACATTAAATACAATGTATACCGACCCTAATATTTTGCCTGCCTCTTCATCTGGACCATAGTTTGCTGTCCTTGTGACTTTTTTTGCTTTATGCAATGAGTTTTGACTTTCTCCTGTTGAATCAATATAAGAGGACAAATCACCTCACCTTTCAGTTTTGTTTTCTTTATTAAATATTTTCAGGATATGACTGCTAGAAATTATATTGATCAGAAGGTTGAAGTGGTGGTGAGCATCTGGCATCTTATTAATGAAGTTAGCTGATTGCCGGCAATGTCTTTACCTGATTTTATTTTGTCATATATGAACAGACTGGGACTACAACTGACGAGTACTTGAAGCAATTGGATAAAGCACTTGAGGTATAGATTTCTTTTAGCTATCTTCACCATGCTTTGTTCTGCATTTTGCTGGATCTTTTTTCAATTCTGATGTCCATATCTGTCGTATTTTATTTGATGACGCTTATACATCTTTGCCTGACAACTTTATTCCAGATACTTCCATTATGTGTGAGTTTACAAGTTTCTCGGTTTTAACTTTACATCATTACTATTGTTTAATCATACTGTTTGAAATAGATTTAGTGCTTTTACTGTGTCTCTGCCTCTATTCTTGTATTCATTGTTGTTATAATATGTGATGCTTTTAACTCTGTTGCATTCTAACATGATTTCATCAGCATTTTCGCTAACTTGCTTCATCTTTTGCTTTGCATTTTTATCTCTATCACGTGTCCCTCTTTCATTTTATTTACTTGTTATCATTTATTAGGTTCATATTACAAATACTGTGTTAAAATGTTCTTCTTATGCTATTACCACATTGTAGTTATTATTTGCAAATGCCAGGTAGCCTGGAGTAATTTTGCCCCTGAGTTGATTATATACAATGCTGGCACTGATATCCTTGATGGAGATCCACTGGGTGGATTAAAGGTAAATTTATAATGGATCCATTTGCTTAATTTTGTTCTATCTTATTATTTTCTCGGGTACATTTCCCTCCTCTATCAGAAGTAAAATGAGATCTTCGTTAGACTCATGCTTTCTGTGAATCGATCGTCTCTGATTTATCAACCTCTCTTTTAGTAGAGAATCATCCTTTTGGTGATAGCCCTGGAGAGCTGCCTTGAATATCATAGAGAACGTACATTATTTCCACTAAGCTCTGAAAGAAAAGCCTTCATTTATAGGACTTTCAGTTCAATAATTAGTTTTGAATAAAAAAGGACAGTAGGTAAGTAGTAATGAGGGTTTATAGATTATCATCTAAAATTTAAGCGAGATTTTTCTTAAATGTTGGTTTAACTCGTTTCTTGTAAGATTTTGGGATTGCAATTCTTGATGGCCTGATTGGCAGAACCCAGAGCCATAAGTGCTTGCAGTTAATGGATAAAATGTCACATGGGAAAAAGAAAAAGAACGGTTTAGCAGTTTGAGACGGCTACGACCAAGAGGGGTGCTTAAGATTGTTCATTTCCTCGCCTCTTGAAGATTGCTCATTTTCTTTTGTTTTTAAAATGTATCTTTTTGTTGGATGGTACATCTCCGGATAATTTATCTTTGTGAGTTTTCACTTACGGCTATTGGGGCTATTGGTCACTTCTAATTTTCAGGTCAGTCCAGATGGGGTGGTCCAAAGAGATGAGAAGGTCTTCAGGTTCTTTCGTGAGAGAAACATCCCTATTGTCATGGTCACGTCAGGTTCGGTATCTTCAAACCTTTATAATATGCTTGATGAACTTCCATTCCTAACGAGCTTTCTTACATTTTTTGTTTAGGTGGCTATATGAAAACTAGTGCCCGAGTCATAGCAAATTCCATAATAAACCTCTCAAATAAAGGCTTGATAGATACAAAAGTCCACAACGGAAGAAGATAAATTACATTTGGCTTATTTTCAGTCAATAAACGGTTCACTACAAAGGTCAGTTCCTCCGAAGAGTTACTTGTGCATTTGTAACCGGAAGTGATCCTTACGATGTAATCGAGGAAATAGGAGGAATTAGGAGATAGAAGTGTGACTTTTATGTAGGAATGAATAATACTCGCAGGAGCATGCGTGTGTCTCGTGTCGTTCTTCAAGTAGTCTACCTCGCAGTTGTGTATATAGCTAAATATAGTAGAAGGTTTCAATGTTTGCACTTTATGGTTTTGCATGACTAGCGAGATATTCATATATTATTATTATATACATCTCTTGTTATGTTTCGGAAAACGATTTCGCATCTAGTTCCACGACCAAACTCCAAGCATCAGCTCTTTTCCTAAACACATCCGAACCCTACACAGCTCTCGGTGCATCCAAACTTAAGCATAGAACCATGCCACCATTTTCATCACGGATCAAGTCCCCCCTACTCGTGTTCAACTTGACTGCCCCATCCGTGCTCCGTTTCGACGAACCTACTCGTGGTTTTAACCATTGCACCCGGGTTGGACCTCTACAAATACGTGTAATGTCAACGCCCATCGATTCACAAGAACCCTTGGCCATCTTCTATCGCATAGGCCAAGCCTTGGAAAACCTTCTGGTTGCGACACTTCCAAAGTCTTCAAAAATTAAATTTTTCGAATTGACTTCGAGTTAAAAATTTCATAAACTCGACTCGAAAAAATTTCAAGTTCAGATCGGGTTGTAAAATACAACTCAAATAACTCAAAATTTTTAGAAATTGGTAGATTTGTTTTCGAGTTTGAGTCAAGTCATTTGACTTTGTATGATATATGTATATCACATATGGAAAAATATGAATAAATATATTTTTATTATATATATGATTATAGAAAGTCACTTAAATTGGAATCAAATAATATTATAATATTACAAATATCTACAATTAAATTTAAACAAAACTTGAAAAATCTACTCGACTCAAAAAAAAATCAAGTCAACTCCGAGTTATAAAATATAATTTATTAACTCGATTTTTTTTACTCGATTCGATTCAACGTGCACCCCTATCCAAAATATCAAAGCAAGCAAGGTGGCCCGTTCGACTCCAAAATAGATCAAAGAGGTTGACTTGCAAGCGGAGATTGAAAATCCAAAAAAAGAACTAATTTTGAAATAATTCTAATCACAATTGTAGAAAATGATAATTATTTATGATAATTTTATGCAATAATAGGATAATAAATTTAATGATTATTTTACAATTTTTAAAAATTTAAAAGGATTAAAATAATCTTTTAAATATAAATTAATTATCTGTGATGTACTTTAACCTACAAATAATATGTTACTCTCAACACCGGTTAGGCTTTTATTTATTAAATTTCTTATATTTATGGATGCGTCTTACTTATTCTGTATGTTAGGTTTAAATAAAGCCTTAAACCAAAAATAGGTTGTCAAACTATACCTTTTTCTATTTAAGTACCTCAATTGTTTTTTGGTCAAATTAAGTCCTTAAACTATTATATATAGTCATTTTAATTATTTAAATTATTTTCTTATCAAAATAAGTTCCTAAATTATAACTCTTTTTTTACTTTAAGCCCCTATGATATTTTTCGATAAAAAAAAGCACCTAATTTTATATCATATGTCAATATCTTATTGGTAAAAAATATTTTTTAATTGAAAAAATAACAAAATTTAAAATAATTAAATAAAATAATTTAAGGATTTAATTTGATCAAAACATAATCTAGGTACTTAAAACAAACAGAATATATAATTTGAGTACCTTATATTTTTACTTTAAACCTTAAAAAATTATCGAATTTATATTTTGAATCGACACATTTATTAACTTAAAATTCTGACCTTTTCAACTTATTCACACGTTCTACCTACCCCGCCACTGTCCTTGCCAGTGCCAGACATTGGTTAATTAATCTATTTAATCAGGGAGGTAGATATTCTAAATCTCACAAGACACTTTCTACGACGTCGTTTTGAGTCCTTCTAACTGACAGGGGTTGAAAACGAGCATTAATCCATAAATGATCCAGAAATTACCAAAACCGGTCACGTTTCATTGTTTGAATGGTTTCAAAATCGAGGCATTTGTCCCTTAACCAATCAAGAAGCGAAAAGGAAAGAAGAGCAGGTAAGCATTACCGTAGTTGATACTCTCCATCGCCTTAAAGCGCTCCCATCTTATTACTTTATCTCTCTTCCCTTCTGTGCGAAACTCATATTATTATTATAATAATATTATTATCCTTAATTTTGTTGCAGAGAGTAATACGGAAACCTAATTTCTAGGGTTTTCAAATTCCTTTGTCTTCTTTGATAAGTTTCGCCCAAAATATTACAGAGAATCATCGTTAAATTTGCTTTTGTTTGTTTCTTCATGGTGGTTCCAATTCCCGTATATTTTCGAACCGACGAATTTACCACCGAAAACAAAATCTTAACCCTCCATTCTGATGACTTTCAGCAGAAGTGAATGGCTCGATTTCATTATCCGTTTCTCCATTTCTTTACCTTCCTCTTCTTCTTCTCCATCGCCTTCGTTATCTCTCTTTCCTCTTCGGACTTTGAATCGGATTTTTCGATAATCGATTCGGATTCGGAGGTTCTTTTGCTCCATCAAGACTACTCTCCTCCAGCACCTCCTCCTCCGCCTCCTCACGCCCCGTCAGTCTCTTGTACTGACGATCTCGGCGGGGTAGGTTCTCTGGATACTACGTGTAAGATTGTGGACGATTTGAACCTCACTCGTGATGTTTATATAGCGGGAAAGGGTAGTTTCAACATACTCCCCAGTGTTAGGTTTCAATGCCCCATTTCGGGATGTTCAATAACCCTAAACATCAGCGGGAACTTTTCCCTTGGTGAAAATTCGTCTATAGTTACAGGTACTTTTGAGCTCACGGCTTATAACGCTAGTTTTTCCAATGGCTCGGCCGTGAATACTACGGGATGGGCTGGGGACCCACCGGCACAGACTAGTGGGACACCTCAGGGAGTAGAAGGAGCGGGCGGAGGTCATGGTGGCAGAGGTGCGAGTTGCTTGGTAGAGGAGGGGAAGCTGCCGGAGGATGTATGGGGTGGAGATGCTTATTCGTGGTCTTCATTGCAGGAGCCTTGGAGTTATGGTAGCAAAGGAGGGTCAACAAGTAAGGAAGTGGATTACGGAGGGGGAGGCGGTGGCCGCGTAAAACTGGTGATTAAAGAGTTATTGGAGGTGAATGGGAGCTTGTTGGCTGATGGGGCTGATGGTGGGAGTAAAGGAGGTGGTGGTTCAGGTGGCTCCATCTATATCATAGCTCATAAAATGTAATGCTTCTCTCTAGTTAGTGTTGCTTTGGTTTATTTAGTTCCCGTAGTTGGATGATTATTTTGTGTTTGTTTGTTAAGCGGAAAGAATTTAGGGAACAATGAGAATAGATGATTACCAAGTCTCACAAAATGATACTTAAGTGGGTGTTTAAGTGGCTCTGCTTACCATAGTTTTGAGGGTAAACCATTGTTGACTCTTACAACTTATTTACTTGTTTGAAAACATTGATTTTTCTTCATGTTAGGTATGTTCATATGCTTTATCTGGATGTTCTTTTACTCCTTTCATTTTAATTATATGAATATCTTTGATTTATAAACTTGGGTTGAATGTCATTACTTTACTTGGTTATAGCTAAGGGTTTTAATGTTGTAGTATCTGTTGTTCTGAAGAGCAGGATTGGAGCTGGCAGGATAAGTGCCTGTGGAGGTAATGGTTTTGGTGGTGGGGGTGGTGGAAGAGTTGCTGTTGATATTTTCAGCAGGCATGATGAACCAAAAATTTATGTGCATGGTAAGATACTTCTTATTTTTTCCTTTTTCATTATGATGGATCACAGGAAAAGGCTCAGTATTTATTAAGATTAACAAATTAAGGCTTTTCACATAATGTTTTTAATGCTAGTTTATTACTTTTTCAACTTGCTAAAAGAACGTGCAATATTCATATGACTCACAACTAATGAGCAAAAGATTGGCTAGATTTTTTTAAATGTGGTTCAAAACAGAAATTATGATTAGAGTATTTTGGAATATATAGTGAAATAAATGGATTACTTTCATATGAGTGAATATTATTCGATGACAAGCTTGGAAAACAACTTTGAAGCTTTGTGATTTCATCATATTGTGTATTTGTTTGTTTTTGCTCCCACTTTGTCCTTTTATGGCGACTGCTTGGTATTCACTTGATAGTTATCTTTCAGGAGGAATTAGCCATGGCTGCCCTGAGAATGCTGGTGCTGCTGGAACCCTTTATGATGATGTGCCTCGAAGTCTCACAGTTAACAATTTTAATATGTCAACAGATACGGAAACACTTCTTCCTGAGTTTCCTTTCCAGCCACTTTGGACTAATGTCTATATTAAAAATTGCGCCAGAGTCAGTGTTCCAGTGCTTTGGAGTCGTGTTCAGGTTTGGGAACTTTAAGTTTTTTGTAATGAGATACTAGAAAATGTTGATATCTCCAAACACAGGGGTATTACTGGGTTTTAGTTCTAATGGATTTGGTTGTTTCAATTTTTTTTAAATTAATTTAATTTCCCCATCTTTAGGCATCTGAGTTAATAGTTTGTTGAGTATGCATAATTGCATATCTCTATTTTTTGCCACCTCTTGTCTCAGCTCTTTCAAATTGCATGTTATATGATTTTGCGCGTTATAGAGAAAATTCGTTTTGGCAAGAGGAATCTAATTCTATTTTTTGTTCCTTATATAGGTGCAAGGACAGATAAGTCTTCTATGTGGCGGGGTGCTGAGCTTTGGGCTAGCACATTATGCAACTTCAGAGTTTGAACTATTAGCCGAAGAACTGTTAATGAGTGATTCTATAATCAAGGTGACAAATAATTCTCTTTTGAATTTGAGTGATGAAGTCTTTTGTTCCTTTTTCTTTTTATCATTATGTGAAGCGATGTTCCCCATATTTGCTAATCAGTTGACCATTTAGGCCTCATTTTTCTTCTTCCCTATTTTTTGTAATATGCTTTCAATACTTTATGATCTCCTTGTTCTATGCATATCAGGTATATGGGGCTTTACGCATGACTGTGAAAATATTCTTGATGTGGAATTCTAAAATGCTTATAAATGGTGGTGAAGATTTAACTGTTGCAACTTCGTGGCTTGAGGGTAGTAATTTAGTCATTCTCAAGGTATCTAACTGGATGCAGCTTTGTAATTTCAATTGCATTTTCTCAGAATGTAATCATTCGTGACAATTCTATCCTTC